AGAGCGGGGATAGAGCGGGGACAGAGCGGGGACAGAGCGGGGACAGAGCGGGGACAGCGCGGGGATAGAGCGGGGATAGAGCGGGGATAGAGGGGGGACAGAGCGGGGACAGAGCAGGGACAGAGCAGGGACAGAGCAGGGACAGAGCGGGGATAGAGCGGGGATAGAGCGGGGACAGAGCAGGGACAGAGCAGGGACAGAGCGGGGACAGAGCGGGGACAGAGCGGGGACAGAGCGGGGACAGAGCAGGGACAGAGCAGGGACAGAGCAGGGACAGAGCAGGGACAGAGCGGGGATAGAGCGGGGATAGAGCGGGGACAGAGCAGGGACAGAGCAGGGACAGAGCGGGGACAGAGCGGGAGGGACAGAGCAGGGACAGAGCAGGGACAGTGTGGGGACAGGATGGGGACACTGAAGGGACAGCATGGGGGACAGAGCGGGGACAGAATGGGGATGGCATGGGGACAGGATGGGGACACTGAAGGGACAGCATGGGGGACAGAATGGGGATGGCGTGGGGACAGGACAAGGACACCGTGGAGACAGCATGGAGACAGCGTGGGACACTGCAGGGACGTGGCAGGGACAGATGGGGGACACTGCAGGGACACCTTGGGGACACGGCCTTGGCTGGGATGTGTGTGGGGACGTGCGGGGGTGACATGGGGACACGTGAGGGAACCGTGGGAACAGGGGGATTTGGGGACAGCGTGTGGGGACATGTGGGGCACACAGGGAGGGGTGCACAGGGACGGTCCCGTGACCTGCTGTCCCCCCGTGTCCCCCCGTGTCCCCAGATCAACATGCTGATGCAGTACAAGGGAGGGGCTGAGGATGAGGAGTGTCCTGTGCCTGGGGACATCCGGGACGAGCTGCTGGACTTCCACAACGACCTGCTGGCCCACTGCGGTGAGGGGGGGACAGGGACACCCCCCTGGCCTTGGGGACACCTCCCTGGGGGGTGGGGACACCCCCCTGGCCTTGGGGACACCCCCTGGCCTTGGGGACACCTCCCTGGGGGGTGGGGACACCCCCCTGGCATAAGGGCCCCCCCCTGG